AGTGGGGGATTGAGCGGAGTCACTCATGTGCTGCCCATTTACAGTTCTGCTTCATCTTTTTGACCGGTGGTCTGACCTGCACAGCTGTATCCCTGACTTCGATGGTCTCCACAGCAGCTGCATGTCTCTGTCTATGTGGTGCTGCCTCCTTCTTGCCAGCATTATTAGAAGCCCATCCCGGTGCCATGGGAATGAGACGTGCCTGGTGCTCCTCTTTCTCAGGATCTCTGACCAGGCAGCTCCTCTTCGGCTGCTCCAAAGGCTTGATCTTGCTGAGCAAAGCGGGCAAACGCTCTGCAACAGGCCTGTAGTGCACACTGAGGAGCTTGGTGTTGATGCACATAGTGATGCGTTTCATTGGGATTGGTGGTGGCAGGTGCTCTGCTGCTCGCCCAGCGCTCCTCAGTTTGTGCTGAGTGGCTGGGGCCTTGCTGTTGGCTGCACGGACAGTGGCTGCTCTTGCTTGTGTCCCTGCAGCCCTGCTGTGTGCTGGTTCCTGCCGTGCCACTGGCTGCTGGCGGGGTCCCTGGCTCGCAGTGCTGTACCTGTGCAGCACTGTGTTCGTGCTGCCTGAGCTCTTAGCTGTGGGAGCAGAGGCTTTGGACCGTGCATCTCTGCTGGCGTAACTGGGGACGCGGCGCAGCTGGGAACCAGATTTGAGAAGCTGCCGTTGGTTGCTGCTTGCGCTGCTCCCATGGCCAGAAGCTGCAGAGGCTGCTGCTGTTACAGGTGGCTGCCTGCAGGAGCTGCCGACTGCTCTCCCTGAGCGAGGTGGCAGCTGGGGTGCCATTGTCACCGATGGTGACAGATGGAGGGTCTGCTCCTGTCTCGACCCCCTGGTGCTGGGCAGCACCACTCGGTGCCCCAGGCTGCCCATCTGCAAAAGAAGGTGAGCTGAGGCTGTGTGACGGTGTCCCCTGTGCCCGTGTCCCAGCTGGCTGAGCTCAGGCAGTTGGGCTCCCCTGCCAGCCCCAGGGCAGGGCTCAGCCCCGCAGGCAGCTGCCACCTGCTCCCAGAGCCGGCTCGGGAGAGGGCTGGCCACCCGCAGCCCACGGTCACTGCCCAGAGCACGCCCAGCATGCCCGGGCAGCCTGCGGGGCACGCATGGGGGGCTCAGCTTGCTCCCTCCTGCACCTCCCGCCCGCCCCTCAGCATCTCCCGGGGTCGGGAAGACGTTTGGCCCCGTCTCCCTGGGGCTCCCTACCTGTGCCTGCTGGCTGACGACAGGCCGAAACCGCTCTGGGTAGGGCACCCGCGGCAGCGTGATCCCGTGGCGGGATGAGGCCTGGCTCCGGCTGCCCTGCGGCGCTTCCTCGGGCTGCCTGTGGGCCACCTGCAGGCAGGAGGAGGAGGAAAAGGTGTGTGATGGAGGCGGCTGCCTTGGCACAGCGGCCCGTGCAGTGCGGGCAAGCCTGGCGCTGTCACCGAGGCAGCTCCGAGCGGCCCCGTCCCACCACCGGCCTCTCCCTCCTGCCCCCGGCCCTCACCTGCCGCCTTCTCTGCTCGCTGGGCCTGCCCTCAGCGGGCTGGGAATGGGCGTTCGCCTCTTTACCCACGGGCATCTTCCACGTCCTGGGACGCTGAACTGCCGGGGGCTTCCAGGGGATTGCTGCCTCCTGAGGGAGGCTGCTCCTCTGGACTGAGGTACTCCAGGGCTCTCGCTCCTCATCTACCCCACGCTCAACACCGTGTCACAAAGACCTGGCGGTCGCCATGGAGATGCCCATGCCCGTGACTGGTACCACCGAGTCCCAACCGGTGACGGGCATCTCCACAGTGACCAGCGAGGCTTTGTGATGGTGGCACTATAGTGTCAGTGACCACTGGGCACACCAGGGCTGCTGCAGGCAGTCAGAGCCAACCAGGTTGGAGAAGACCTTTCAGATCATCAAGTCCCAGTGTTCCCCAGCAGTGCCAAGGTCACCACTGACCCATGGCACTCAGGGCCTGGTCTACACAGCATGTGAACACTTCCAGGAACGGCAACTCCAGCACTGCCCTGGACAGCCTGTTCCGGTGCCTGACTACACCTGAAGAAATGCTTCCTAAGCTCCAGTCTATACCTCCCCTCCTCACCTTGAGGCCATTTCTCCTTGTTCTATCCCTTATTCCCTGGGAGAGGAGAGCAGGAAACTCCTGGCTCCAGCCTCCTCTCAGGTAGCTGTAGAGAGCAATAAGTTCCCCGCCCCAGCCTTCTCTTCTCCAGACTAAGCCCCCTCAGTTCCCTCAGCCGTTCCTCATCACACCTGTGCTCCAGGCCCTTCACCAGCTCCGTTCCCTTCTCTGGCCCCGCTGCAGCACCTCAACGACTCTCCTGTAGCAGGAGCCCAGGTCTGAACACAGGGCTCGAGACGCGGCCCAGTACAGGGGGGCAATCATTGCTCTGCTCCTGCTGGCCACACCGGTGCTGATACAGGCCAGGATGCTCCCAGCCAAGTTCAGGACACGGGACTGTGCCTTGTTGAACCTCATAGCACTGGCCACAGCCCATTGATCCAGCCTGTCCAGATCCCTCTGCAGAGCTTCCTGCCCTACAGCAGATCAACACTCCCACTCAACTTGGTGTTGTCCACAAACTTACTGAGGGTGCACTTCATCCCCTCATCCAGATCATCAACAATCTGGTTCTGTGTTTCTATGATTCCAATGAAGAAATTAAGCAACACTGGCCTCAGTACCTGGGGGACACCAGTAGAGAGCAGTTGGCAACTAGATGTGACACCATTCACAGCTGCTCTTGGGGCTCAGCCATCCACCAGTGTCCAGCCCAGGGAAGAATACACCTCTCCTGACCATGAGGAGGCAGCTTCTGTAGGAGAAGCTTCTTGGCAGAGGCGAGCAGCTCCAGAGAGGAAGCTTCACCCCCGAGCGTGTGGACATCGCAGAGCCCAGGAGCCTCACTGCTGTATGGCCAAAACCAGCACAACAGAGGAACAACCCATTCCTGCACCAATGAAGAGGAAAACTGCTAGTGCAGCCAGGAAACTGTGGTGGAGGATAGGAGATTCTGCTTTGGAAGGTAGAAGCACTGCAGCAGGTTGCCCAAAGAAGTGGTAAAGGCTCTGTTCCTCCTGGTGAAAGAGACCAGGGCTGGAAGGTCCTTAAAGCTCCTCCAGTTCCAAGCCCTGCCACGGGCAGGGACCCCTTCCACTAGAGCAGCTTGCTCCAAGCCCCTGTGTCCAGCAATTTAAACTGCCCTGCCAGGGATGGGGCAGCCACAGCTTCTCTGGGCACCCTGTGCCAGCGCCTCAGCACCCTCACAGGGAAGAGCTTCTGCCTAAGAGCTCAGCTCAATCTCCCTCAAAAGCCCTTCTGTGCGCATTCAGCTGAGATAACACCCGAGGTCCCTACAGAAACACCAGCTTTAACGGAACAAATATTCTGCAAATGTTCACTGTCTCACAGTTAGACTCCACCTGAGCTCTGTGGCTTCAGGAGAAGTCGAGGTGGGCCTCGTGTTACTTAGCAACTTTCAGAGGAGAGAGGGAGAGAGAAAGGGGGGTGTTGGGGAGGCAGAGAAAGGAGGGAGAGACCACCAGTCTGCCAATGGGGTGTTTGTGGTGTGGAGAGAGTGCCCCAGGGGCTCACACGTGTCCCTGTTTATTGGCCCTGGTTCCTGGACTCCTGGAAGCTTCTCTCGCCCAGTTGCAGGAGTGCCTGACACAGCAGACAGTCAAGAGAAGCTGCTCCAGGCCCCTGCCCATGATTTCCCTTTCTGACCACTGGGACCTTCTGTTGATGCATTCTGTCTGTGCCTGCACAGCCACAGGCCCCGAATGAGGAAATAGCTGGGCACATGAGGTTGATACATGGGTAGACTCCACAGCTCGTTAGAGTTGTAAAGTAGGTATGCTTTTATTCAGCGCTGAGGCGCATGGGGGACTGCTCTTCCAAAAGCATGCGCGCCCTTCGTTTGCCACTCTGTTTGTTTATATTACATATAATGATTACATAAACATGAGATTGCTTCACACCTAATACATATGCAAAACCTATTCCTGTCTAGTATTATAATGAATTTTCTGGCATTCGTCCCATTGATGCGCCTGTGCAGTGCCTCCTGGTGGTGATCGTTAGGGGGTCGTGAGGATGAAGGCCTGTAGTTCCTCTTCATCACTGAGAGTAACCTTTTGTTCTCACACAGACTCAATAGGGTTTCGGCTCCTATCCAAACCTCAGGTTCGGTACAAGGCGGTTTTACGTATCTTAAAGCAGAAACTTGTCAAGTTTGCAAATTTTGTTACTCTGGTTATCTCTTGTTCCTTTTCTTTCTATCGATCCTATTTAAACAAGAATGTCTTAAAGTTATGAATCTTATCTACTACAATCCGGCCCAGCAGCTGTAACTCCTACAATTCTGCTTCACCGTTCTAGCAACTTGGACTCCTACAGTTCTGCTTCACCAAGCACAGTGACTGCTTAAGCAAGCAGGCACAATGTTAACCCTTTTTTCACAGGTATCAAGGTCAGGGAGGGAAGCGAAGGCTAACATGAGCTCATGTTAGATCTTCCAGGACAGCGTCTTTAGAGCTGGTTTCCAGCAAGATCAAGTTGTTCTCTTCTTGCTCCAGTTGCACTATGGAGCTTTGCCTGCCAGACGCACACAGGGTGTCCAGGAGTGCAAGGTGATTTCCCAACCCCAAACACAAACCAAGAGCTGTGTGCGCATTCCTGCACAAGTACATCTGGAGCCTCAGGCCCACCTCCCTGTCCTTCCTCTGCTGCAGCCCTGGGGACACAAGGCCATGGCTCGGGGCAGCTGCAAGACCCACCGCACTCGGTTGGTCAAACGCTGCAGGATGGGGAAGTGGGGGATTGAGCGGAGTCACTCATGTGCTGCCCATTTACAGTTCTGCTTCTGGAAACACTGCCAGCTTCTCACTGCATCGCTCCAGTGCTTGCGTGCGCAGGAGGAGCAGGAGAATCACAGTCTCTCGGCCCTTATCTCTGGCCTTAGCAACTCTAAGCCTCGCACTTTATTCCTCCAATCTGCTGCACCAGGCTGCAGCATGCACCGGGCTTCAAAAGCCAGCTGACATGGGAACCACTGCATCACACACTGTTTCATTGCATCGGGATGCGCTTTTCCTACTTGGCCAACATGTGCTGCCAAGAGCCAGCAGGACTGCAAGCGCAGCAGCTGGGAAGTGCTGCAAGGAAAGAGGTCGCTCCGCAGGCTTCTGTTACTGACACAAGGGAAAAGCTGGAGCGGGCAGAGGTGAGCACTGTGGGGATGGAGATCGGGTTTATCAGCCCGAGAAAATGTCCACAGCGAGCACAGGCTGGGGCACGATGTACTCAGCGCAGCTCCCTGGGGTCTGGAGGTGGCAGTGGGGCTCTACTCCTCCACTTTCGGGTTGATGCAGGAGCAGCGGAAAGCCCTGCGCAGAGCCTTCAGCGTCCTTCTGAAGCGGGATACTTGTTGCTCTTGGACATGTTCATGACTGATGTCACGAAATCCTTCGTTTGGGTCAGGGGCTTCCCCACTATAGGTGGAGGAATGGGGATGGACGCGTAGCAGGTTTCGTCGTGTTTGCAGCTGCCCCTTTTGCATTTTCATGCGGGTTTTCCACTGAGAGCTTTCAGTCCTCTCACAGGTAGTGGAGGACCTGGCACTGTCCATCTTGCGCCAACGGTGCCACCAGCCTGGCCTGGGTGCCAGTCGAGTCGAGGATGTAGTTGTCTTCTCCTTGGTGTCCTGAGCTGCTGCCGGTTCATCCCAGTAGAATGGCGCGGAGGTAAAGGTTTTGCTGGCCTCTCCTTGATGCTCTTCCGGTGCTTCCCTCTCTTTGTGCCCGAACATAAGCTGCAGAGCCCTGTAGACAGCTGAGCTCCTTTTTGGGGCCTGTCTCTGGGCCTGTGGTGGTAGCTGGCTCAAGCTTGCTACTGATCCTTGTGTCCAGGTCTGTCCTGGTCCCTGTCTATCTGTGCACAGGTGCCTGGCCTGTGCTGGTGTCTCTCTCTCAGCCATGTTCTGCCCTTCCAGACGTTGCTGGATAGTTTTCTCCCTCACAGCAAAAATCCTGTGAATGGTTTCCTTTGCGAAGCAGCTGGCTTCTTCCTCTGAAGCCAAAACAGAGGGTAGGGTGCGGAGCATAGCAAGTATTAGCCTCCGGGGACTCTCATCTTCCTCCTGTTCGCTAAAGGCATGGGAAGCTCGTGCTGGTGCCGCCTTCTCCTTTGCCACGGCAGCGAGAGGTGCGTGATGCTTCCCTTCCTCATCAGCTGGGGAGACAACTACTGTTACAGGCACTTCTTGATGTTCTCTAGACACAGTGGACACCATGTCTTCTCCAGCCTCATGTGCTGCTGGGACAAGAGGGGCTGTGCTGGGCTCTGCCTGAAGCTCTGCAGCCGCAGGAGACTCCGTGTCCTCAACTGCTGCAGGCCTTGTTGCTGCCATTGGTACACGCACAAGGTTTTCATCAATGTCCTGCTGTTCCAGAGGCTGCTTGTCGATTTCGAGGACGAGAGACAAAGCCTTGGGCAGGATGCCTCTCACAAAGCTCATGGCTCTTTCTGATCGTATCAGCTCAGAGGCAGTAGGGCTGAGCAGGGCAAATGGCTTTCTCCGTGCCTCTGCTTCTACCTCCTGCTCATCAAAGCCATGGGAATGTGGTTCCAGTGCCTCCTCCTGCTCTTGTTCCATGGAAGCGAGAGGTGTGTGGCACTGCTCTTCCTCAGCAGCTCCAGCCAGGGGAGGAGATGCCAGCTCGGTTTCCGTGGGAGCGGCCAGGGCAGGAGACACTCTCTGCACGTCTCCAGCTGCCTCTGATGTCGCATCTGTGCCCACGTTGCTGCGGATCCTGGATTCCACCTGGATGTCTGCTCGGGGGTCCTGGAAGAGCTCTGGCTCCAAAGGGCTGACGCAGATGTTGTACATGGTGACGGCTTCCCCTTGGGATAGCTCTTTGTCACTAACACATTCCAACTCCTCCTTCGCCTCCTCATCCTTCTCCTCAGGGAAGGCCGCTGGCTCCTCCTGTAAACACACAGCAGAACATCAGGAGCTGACAGCTCTCCCCAGCCCTGTCTCTCTCAGGGCTGCACGTAGCTGTGTGGGTGCTGTGCCATGGGCTGCCTTCTCCCCTGCTGCCCTATAACCAGCGCCAGGGCTGGGTGGTGCATTGGCCCGTCACATGGGCTCTGGGGCTGCTGCTGGGGGCTGCTCACTGGGGAGGTCCCTCACGGGCTGCTCTCCTTCAGTGCCTTTGCTCCAGAGGAGCGGTGCCGGATGGGAGAGCAAGAGCACAGGCAGGGGAGGGAGGGAATGTCAGCGGGATGACACAGGGAGCACCAGCAATGTACCTGCCACACTTGCTTTAGGATCTGGGGTTGCCTCCAGCACCTTGGGATCCCCAGTGCCGGCCACATGGGTGTCACTCACCTGGGGCTGAGAGCCCTGAGTCAAAGGTGAAGCTCCTGCTTCTCCTTCATCATCTGCTCCAGGCACAAGGTGAGATATCCCAGACTCTGCCCCAGGGATCATTGTCACTGAAGCCAGGATTTCCTCCTCGTGTTGTGCTGAGGAGACAACAGCTCTGCTGGCCTCCTCTTGATAGTCTCCAGACAGAGGAGAAACCATGTCTTCTCCAGCCTCATCTGCTGCTGGGGCGAAAGGGGATGAGCTGGGCTCTGCCTGAGGCTCTACAGCTGTAGGAGTCTCGTGAAAGCCAGGGGAGGCTGATGCCGGTGCCTCCTTCTGCTCTTGTGCCACAGATGATGTCTGTTCATCTGTTCCTGTGGCAAGGTGGGGTTTCTCACCCTCTGTCCCAGCGTTCTCTGTCAATGCAGCCGCTTCTTCCTGTTTGTCTCCTGCCAGAGATATTATGGCTCTTCTGGCCTCTTTTTGGTCTGCAGACATGGGAGACACCATGTCTTCTTCAGCCTCATCTGCTGCTGGGACAAGAGGAGTTGCACTGGGCTCTGCCTGAGGCTCTACAGCCATAGGAGTCTCGACGTCCTCCAGTGCTACTGGCATCACTGGTGCCACTGACACATCCACATGGCTTTGGGCCACATCCTCCTGCTCCTGAGGCTGCTCATCTGTTTCCTGGATGGCAGCCACAGCCTTGTGCACAACGCCCCTCACAAAGTGCCTGGCTGTTTCCTGCATAAACAACTCAGAGGCAGGAGGGCTGAGCAGGGCAAATGACTTTCTCTGGGCCTCGGCTCTGACCTCCTGCTTATCAAAGCCATGGGAAGGTGATGCCGGTAATCTCCTCCTGCTCTAGACAGAGGACAGAATAGTTGAAGGTGAAGCTGCTTACCTTCAAACCTTCTCTCCAGGCGCAAGGTGAGATATCCCAGACTCTGCCCCAGGGATCATTGTCACTGAAGCCAGGATTTCCTCCTCGTGTTGTGCTGAGGAGACAACAGCTCTGCTGGCCTCCTCTTGATAGTCTCCAGACACGGGAGAAACCATGTCTTCTCCAGCCTCATCTGCTGCTGGGGCGAAAGGGGATGAGCTGGGCTCTGCCTGAGGCTCTACAGCTGTAGGAGTCGCAAAGCCAGGGAGGCCATGCCGGTGCCTCCTTCTGCTCTTGTGCCACAGATGATGTCTGTTCATCTGTTCCTGTGGCAAGGTGGGGTTTCTCACCCTCTGTCCCAGCGTTCTCTGTCAATGCAGCCGCTTCTTCCTGTTTGTCTCCTGCCAGAGATATTATGGCTCTTCTGGCCTCTTTTTGGTCTGCAGACATGGGAGACACCATGTCTTCTTCAGCCTCATCTGCTGCTGGGACAAGAGGAGTTGCACTGGGCTCTGCCTGAGGCTCTACAGCCATAGGAGTCTCGACGTCCTCCAGTGCTACTGGCATCACTGGTGCCACTGACACATCCACATGGCTTTGGGCCACATCCTCCTGCTCCTGAGGCTGCTCATCTGTTTCCTGGATGGCAGCCACAGCCTTGTGCACAACGCCCCTCACAAAGTGCCTGGCTGTTTCCTGCATAAACAACTCAGAGGCAGGAGGGCTGAGCAGGGCAAATGACTTTCTCTGGGCCTCTGCTTCTACCTCCTGCTTATCAAAGCCATGGGAAGGTGATGCCGGTACCTCCTCCTGCTCTTGTTCCACAGAGCCCTGAGTCAAAGGTGAAGCTGCTTCTCCTTCATCACCTGCTCCAGGCACAAGGTGAGATATCCCAGACTCTGCCCCAGGGATCATTGTCACTGAAGCCAGGATTTCCTCCTCGTGTTGTGCTGAGGAGACAACAGCTCTGCTGGCCTCCTCTTGATAGTCTCCAGACACGGGAGAAACCATGTCTTCTCCAGCCTCATCTGCTGCTGGGGCGAAAGGGGATGAGCTGGGCTCTGCCTGAGGCTCTACAGCTGTAGGAGTCTCGTGAAAGCCAGGGGAGGCTGATGCCGGTGCCTCCTTCTGCTTTGAGGCCCGCGTCCGTGTCTGTTCCATCCTGTCCCCCCTGCAAGGTGGGGTTTCTCACCCTCTGTCCCAGCGTTCTCTGTCAATGCAGCTGCTTCTTCCTGTTTGTCTCCTGCCAGAGATATTATGGCTCTTCTGGCCTCTTTTTGGTCTGCAGACATGGGAGACACCATGTCTTCTTCAGCCTCATCTGCTGCTGGGACAAGAGGGGCTGCGCTGGGCTCTGCCTGAGGCTCTACAGCCATAGGAGTCTCGATGTCCTCCAGTGCTACTGGCATCACTGGTGCCACTGACACATCCACATGGCTTTGGGCCACATCCTCCTGCTCCTGAGGCTGCTCATCTGTTTCCTGGATGGCAGCCACAGCCTTGTGCACAACGCCCCTCACAAAGTGCCTGGCTGTTTCCTGCATAAACAACTCAGAGGCAGTAGGGCTGAGCAGGGCAAATGACTTTCTCTGGGCCTCTGCTTCTACCTCCTGCTTATCAAAGCCACGGGAAGGTGATGCCGGTACCTCCTCCTGCTCTTGTTCCACAGAGCCCTGAGTCAAAGGTGAAGCTGCTGCTGCTTCTTCATCACCTGCTCCAGGCGCAAGGTGAGATATCCCAGACTCTGCCCCAGGGATCATTGTCACTGAACCCAGAACTTTCTCCTCATGTTGTGCCTGGGAGACAATGTCTGTGCTGGCCTCCTGTTGAAGATCTCCAGACACGGGAGAAACCATGTCTTCTCCAGCTTCATCTGCTGCTTGGACGAGAGGAGCTGGTTTTGGCTCTCCCTGAGGCTCTGCATCCACAGGAAACTCAGTGTCCTTAAGTGCTGCCTGTGACAACGCTG